ACCCATCATTCATCCGTGAAACACTTTAAACAGTGCAAAAGGTGCTGTACATGAGAAGCTTGATTCAGTCTCACTATCACATGCCATGACTTTCCCAACCGTCTTTTTGCCGACGCACCACCTTCATTCAGTTTTATTTTGGCTGCCGAGATCACAAGTGCCTGAACACCACTTGACTTTTAGCTGTAGCTGTTTGTATTCACACAGATGTTTCTACTTAACCGAAAATGTGAGGCACACTCGCAAATAACTCCAAATAACCTTCAGTTTTATGTAAATTATATCAGATGCTTTTCTAACTGCAAGCTAACACAGGAGTCACAATATCCGACCGCAGAGATCTCAGTCCTCTTGTGCTGCTGATTCTCGCTCGTTACAGGAGATTCAGCCTCTGTTAATCAGCAAAACAAGATAGGAAACAGCACAACACACATTAACATTATCTACACTCCTACACAGAATGGCACAATGGAGAATATCCAGAACTGGATTTTTGTGGGCAATCCCGCCACCAATTGTGATATTGATATATCAGCTGTTATATATATATGAACGTATATGAACGTACATACATAGGTGTGTCAGAAAAGTTCCAGGACTGGTGTCACAACAGACATATTTCAAACCCAAACTACCAGTGTTCCCCTTCAGATGATCAACCAGCACGTCTACAAAGAGATCCTGCAACGTTTGCTTCATTCAGTGCACCAGTAGAGGTGAGAGTTGTGGCAGGACGAGTCGTGGCTGCTTCACCATGACAACGTGCCTGCTCACAATGTCCTGAGCATCCCACAGTTCCTGGCTGAGAAGAACATCACCGTGCTGGATCAACCTCCCTACTCACCCCACCTGGCTCTGTGGGATTTGTTTCTTCTTCAACAAGCTCAAGGGGGTCATCAAGGGGACCCGTTTAGAAGACGTAGACGACATCAACATGGCTGTGACGATGGAGCTGAGGAGGATCCTGGAAGAATCCTTCCAGGAGTGCATGGCGGCGTGAAAGAGAAGACTGGGAAGTGTGTTAGACTCCAGGAGGATTACTTGGAAGGGGAAAACTGTAGTTTGGATTTGAAATATATCTTTTATGACACCAGTCCTGGAACTTTTCTGACACACCTCATACATGAATTTGTGTTACAGTAGTACTGAAAATGGAAAAAATTATCATTTTGCTTTGCCGCAACATATTTCACAAATTTGTTAGCCTGCTACAAGATGCTAACTGACTGTGCACCACCGTTTATAACACATACTCTGCTACATGTGCTGCAGACAGTGCTGAGTGTATTGGAGCTGCTCTGCTGGACAAACTATGTGATGAGATGTTTTCTAATTTATCCCAAGCATCTTTTTCTGCATTCTGTTCTGCACAAAAAAATGAATTAATCATATGGAGCATAGTGGTGAACATATATTTCTGGTGCTAATATTGGCCAGCTGATATATCATTGGGGCTGCACAACATAGTAAGCAAACAGTTTGCTCAAAAGCACAATTAATGGCAACTTTACAGGAATATAATTTTACAAAAGCGTAAAAGTGTTTAGTGACAGCTGTTTTACTGCAGGGTTAGATGTGTGAGGGTTAAAAAAATACTGTTCATTTTAGCGCTGTAGCTTTCATATTGTAGCATTGAATCGCCTCCAACACTGGACTTTGCTTCCATTCCTTGTGGCACCGAGTGAGATCTAGCGTTCGCTCTTGTGACTCGAAGCGTAATGCTGTTTACGAGTGAAAAACAGAATCATTCTGTTTTCGGAGACATTAGGTCAAAGCACAGTATGAGATGCTGCCACTGATTAGAAAACCTCAGACTCTATTTGTTCATTTCTTCCTTTTCACAGTTAAGGTCACACGCTCCACATCAAACTGAAATTGATTCTTTTATTAAAGCTACATGCACTTAAGGTTAATGTTTTAGGCTGGCACTATTCTTTTTTTTTGTTTGGTCAGTGTGTTATGGGAGAAAAAAAACAGCACTCATAAGGTCGGGCAAAGTTGTAATCAATACCAACATCAAAATGTATTTTCCCAGAACAAAGAGCGGCTGTACATCAGTGAATGAGCTAAATGTTTAATGCCTCCAAGACTGCAGTAGCCCTTCCAGCTCTTCATCCTTGTTTCAACAATCATCAGTTATTTAATGTCTTTGATCGGAGCTGTAAATCTCTCTGTGATTCCACACAGTGTTCCGCCAGAACCATCCCATTAGCAGCCACTGGATTCTATTTAGTGTTTATTCTGCAGCTCTATAAGACAGAAATGTTGTTTTATTAATAAACGCAGCTGTCAGGCTCCGTGAAAAATCACCTCCTGTAACAATATAGCAGATATTTGTTTTGGCACATATTCAAATCAAGATGAATATCAGATATCACAGGCTTTGATGTTTAATAACGATTCACTACTTATAACAGATGTTTTCTGATCATGTCTGTTCATGGATGCCAAACAAAAACCATTTGGGGAAGAGCTTTTTGTCGCTTAGAACAACGTCACATCCACGTGACAGGTGAAGGGCAGAATCAAAACATTTCAAGGTGATGCGTGAGTTGAATGAGCAGATTTTGTTATTTAAAAAAAACAGCTAGATGAGTTTGACCTGCTTGGTTTAAGCAGGACTTTTCATCAACAGCTCGCCTCTGCTGAGGACGCAGGCTTTTATGAAAGAGAACAAAGAGAGAGGGTTTGGCTGATTCTGTGTGAAGAGGAGGATGAGGAGGATGAGAAGCGAGGAGGAGAAGAGATGAGAGCACTTGTGTGTCCTTCATTGGCTCAGTGTCCGGCTGAGTCCACTCCTCTCCAGCACATCACAGAGTGGGTGGACGATGTGAACAGAAAAGAATAACAAAAACAAAGGCAAGCGCGTCTTTGTGTGTGAACACAGAGCGATTGTACGAGGCTTCAAATGATGAGAGCCGCCGACCAGAACCTTTTCCCTGCACCTCGAGCGAAACACCGCAAAGTCGAGTAAATTGCAATTTTAACACCTGGTTAGAGTAATGGTTTTCACAATTACACCTTTTAACTTTCTTGCTGGGAATTAAATGAAAAAAAATCAATGCCACTCTCATGCCATTAAATATAGAGCTAGAGCTGGGAGGTAATTAGCTTAAATTAGCATAATAACTGTAAGCTTTGCTGTGTTCATAGTTTAAAAACACATCCTCCAGCACCTCTGACACAATCTGTACACAAACAGAATGTAAAACCAGGTGATAGTTAACCTACGAGGTGTGTCAGAAAAGATCAAGAACTGGTGTCACAAAAGATAGATTTCAAATCCAAACTGCAAACTACAAGTTTTCCCCTTCATAGTCATCCCCCTGGAGTCTAACTCACTTTTCCAGCCTTCTCTTTCACGCCGCCATGCACTCCTGGACGCATTCTTCCAGGATCCTCCTCAGCTCCGTCGTCACAGCCATCTTGATGTCGTCCACGTCTTCTAAACAGGTCCCCTTGATGACCCCCTTGAGCTTGGGGAAGAGGAAACAATCCCACGGAGCCAGGTGGGGTGAGTAGGGAGGTTGCTCCAGCACGGAGATGTTCTTCTCAGCCGGGAACTGTGGGATGCTCAGGACATTGTGAGCAGGCACGTTGTCATAGTGAAGCAGCCACGACTTGTCCTGACACAACTCTCGCCTCTTCTGAATGAAGCAAACGCCACAGGTTCTCTTTGTAGACGTGCTGGTTGATCATCTGAAAGGGAAAACTGGTAGTTTGGGTTTGAAATATATGTTTTGTGACACCAGTCCTGGAACTTTTCTGACACACCTTGTAGCTTAAGTAGCTACAGGTGCAGGAGGAAACAACTAATCTCAGTTCAGAATTGCACTAAAAACACAACCTCTGCCTCTTTACCATTCTGTAAATGTACAGAAATTCTATTCAATTTGGTTTTATTTGTCTCGCACTAATTCACAATATAATATTATAGACAGAAACCCAACAAATCAAAATGATTCCTTTTGAAGAAGCTCTTTGGCGACAGTGCTAAGAAAAACGTCTGTAACATTTGGCAGAACCAGGCCAGCCATCTGCCTCCACTGGCTAGGGTGAGGTTAAAGGGGGGAGAGAAAAGCAGAGCAGAAACAAACAATCCATAAGACATCAATAAACACTAGAGAGGTTAGTGAGGTCATGAACTGCAGTTAGTGACATGCAATAGCAACGAGTAAGGTGCTCAGAGCATCAGGGGTGTTCGCCCAGCAGTCTAAGCCGATTGCAGCGTCACTAGGGGATGGCTCGGGATCATCTGAGCAGCCTGAAAAAAGAAAGCTTTAAGCCCAATGATAAAACATAAAGAGGGTGTCGGCCTTGTGAACCCAATCTAGGAGCCAGTGCCACAGGAGAGCAGCCTGATAGCCGAAGGATCTGCCTCCTGTCCAACTTTTGCAAACTCTAGGAACCGCAAATAAGCCTGCACTCTGACAGCAAAATGCTCTGTTGGGATATTATGGTACTATGAAGTCTTTAAGATACAATGGGCTCTGTGTGTGAGGAGAGGAATTTTAAATTATATTCTTGATTGCACAGGGAGCCAGTGAAGAGAAGCTAATATGGGAGAAATATCGCCTCTCCTGCTGGCTGCTGTTTGGCTGCAGCATTCTGGAGCAGCTGAAGGTTTTCCAGTGAATCAATGGGACGTCCTGATGATAAGGGAATGCAATAGTACAGCCTAGAAGTCACAAATGCACGGAGTAGTTTTGTTTATGTGTCCGTCCGTGTGCTTTAGAGCAGTGGTTCTCAAACTTTTTGAGCCACGACCCCCAAATGTAACAGAAGTTTGTGTTCGTGACCTCCCAATCTGAATTTTTAATATCTCTTGAGTAATAACTTTGTTGTTCATGCATTAATGCGTTAAAAATTAATGTGTTAATTCCACAGATTAATCTCTTTACATCAATGAATGAATGAATTTAATTTATTTCGAACAGATGAAGGGAAAAAATATATAAAAACTAAAGAAAATTATTTTTAAAAAGAGCAAAAAAGAATAATAATATCGCATAATCAAATCATGATATTAACAAGTCTGAAAAAGGAGTGGGAAGAAGTATACACTTTTAATTTTAACCACCCTAATGCTAATTTATTTGATAAATGGAGGCTTTATTTTATTTTTTTGCAATGATCTGGCGACCCCCTGAAATTATCCTGGGACCCCCAAGGCTTTATTTTATTTTTTTGCAATGATCTGGCGACCCCCTGAAATTATCCTGGGACCCCCATGGGGGTCCCGACCCCCAGTTTGAGAACCACTGCTTTAGAGATTCTAACGCAGAAGACAAATCACATGTGATCAAATGCGAAAAGAGAAAGTAAGTTATATAAATCATACTTCTTAGCCTTGATAAAGAGCCTCACTAACTGCTTCCCTCTGCTGCCAGTATCCAGGCTACCTCAGCTAATCGCCTTTGTAGTCATCTGACTCAATAATCTTCTCATATGACTCCTGGCAAGAGTGAATAAATGCAGTTTCCAAACTTTCACAATGTTTTTCCCGAAACAAGATGCAGAAAATATGACAAATTTATAAAAAGACACTGTATAGGTTGTTTTTTTTTCTTTCAGAAAGCCAGCCTTGCTGTCAACAAAAATAATCCTATTGATTATCTATTTCTGCATTTGGAATATCCTGTCATTTCCCAAGTGGGCGCCGTTGTCTGATCTAAAAAACAATATCTTTTTTAATGACTAGAATAAAGTAATTTCACTCCACAAAGAAGCTGCAACAGTTAAGCCGGAGGAAAAAGTGTCTGTTTTTTTGCTAAGAAGTAACCATGGAGACATGATTTAAGCTTTGAACGTGCTCTTCTTTCTTTGCCCCCAAACTTTGAAAAGTCACTGCTCCTAAATCTGTATAAGAATTGCATATTCGCTCGGCAATTAAGCACACTGCTAATGGTCTGAGCTGGCTTAGCTGTGGGGATTCTGTCAACTGGGAGCAGTGAATATTTTTAAAAGTGCTTTACTCCCTCTAAAGAGTCACCATTCACTGAGGCCACGGTGCCAATTGCACTCAATCAGCATCAACATATAGGAAAAAAAGGAAGCAAAGGTAGTCTATAAGGCAACAATGATGAAATGTGTGAAACCTTTATGTTCGTCTAGCTGTCGAGCGTTTTTAGTCGGTGAGACGGCAAATCTTCCAGCATTTGTGTTTCACTTGAACAACTGGATTCTCGTTGATTACTTCATTAATTTAATCAATTCAGCCTCTAATGCCTGGCCCAAGGCTTTTATTGCTGATCCTAATGGAGGCAGGGTCTGTCAGAGCAGAGAGGGAAAAAAAAAAAATGGGGAGCTGATAATAAAGTGACTTAGGATGCATTAAGTCATACTTATACAGTGTGGCGTGTCTACCAAGTATCCTCTAGCAAGCTTTTCATTTAAAATGCCTCCTGTGTTTGAGAGGCGCCGGCCATCTGCCAGATTGTTTTTTTGTTCGCAGAAACCCAGATAAAGTTGTGAAGGTCGATGTGCTGTGAGGCCTGGGAGGCGACGGCATGCATGCTGAGGAGCTGCCTTTTAGCTTCACAGTGGGACGGGGAGGGAGTGAGCGAGCGAGCAGAGGAAGGAAAGGCAAAGGACGGAGAGAGGGAAAGAAAGGAGAAGGGGGAAGTCGTCATAATGCAATGGCCAGATTAAAACAGGCAGCAGGAGACGAGAGAGAAATGAGCGAAGCAGTTTGAGCAGGAGTGAATGTGGATCTGAAGATATGAATATGGAAGAGAGAGCAGAGATGCAGCCAGGAGGGAGCGTCAAAGACCTCAAAGTGCCAAGCTTCTCGTCTGCTGCTGGGAATTTCGATACACATCTGCAAAAAGCTTCAGACGGCACTCACCCCTCCTCTACGTTTTTTTTTTTTTTTTTTTCATCCTCCCCTTTTTCCTCACATATCATAAATGATGCTGACTTGACAGCGAAGCACCTGTGGCAGTGCATCTGTGGATCAGTGGGCACAGGGTGTCTCTTTCTCTGTTCGTCTGCCATTAGCTTTCCCCAAGCTCTGCCTAACAAGCTCCTGGGTGCTTTGTTCTGAATGTACAAGGAGCAAGGAGCTTGGCTTGTGGTTCAAAGAAACCCCACAGCCAGTGAGCAACTTCAACCAGCTGGTAGAGATACAGAGGGTGAAAGTTGCCTGGCTGCTCCTTCAGCGTGAACTTGGATGTGTTAATCCGTGTGCTTAGAAAGCCAGAGAACTTCTCATGTGGAGTCTAAATCCCCAGCCCTGACTAAATCCTGACGCTTTGTTATGGCTGTCCTCGCTGAAATGAGAAGGTGCAGCAGAGGTTCACACTCAGCTTCACACTCACTTTGTAATACTTCTAAATTGTGTTCCTCCCTTGCGTTCATTTTGAGTAAAGCTAGTGCAGACTGCAGGACCTGCCGCTTTTATCAAACAACACGTGGGTTTGGAAGAAGCTACACATCTGATAGTGATGGCACCGTTTAATTAAAAAACACACAAGAAGTAACTGAATACGGGTGTCTTCCTCCTTCATCACCTCAGTTACCAGCCGCACGCTGAAGTTCATCTTACATTTCAGACACATCTCCAAGGTGGCAAAAGAGAAAGGTGGATTTTGGAACTGGCCAAGAGCCTTTTATACTCATGCCCAGGTTTTTTTTGTTTTGTTTTTTCAAATGCAACTTTTTCTATGGCCTTTTGTCAACATATAAATGCAGTTTCAGGTTACTGTAAACTGGCCTTTTAGGAAATAAACTCTTCAAGGAACAGGAAACGCTGAGTTTTGGTGTAGAATGTAAAAATGTGGCAAAAATAGTGCTGCTGCTAACCTTGCTAACAGGACTTATTACATCCATCCGTCCATCCATTATCTATACACCGCTTAATCCTCAAAAGAGGCAATAGAATGGGTCCACACATATAATTTCCTTCCTTTCTTGATGAACCATTGCTGGAAACTGGTAAAGGATTTTTTCCAGGCTTCTGATTGTTCCGCAAGGCTTTAGTACATCTTTAGCATGTAGCATAGAATGATGTGGCTACACTTCATTGTAATACTGCTATAAGGGAAAACAATATTTGATATTAATGTATTTCTTTCAACTACTAGTCACAGTCTTATCAGGCAGAGCCCAGGATGCAGCAATGGTGTCCCCTCTAAGTGGTGACAGAGGATTTAGTTCGGTGGGACATTTGCACACAAGGGGGCTAGCACTGCCATTACTGAAAAAATCTAGCAAAAATCTTGCCAAAAGCTGAAATTCAGAGGTTGTTTCTCCCGAGCAACGAGGATTTTGAAAGCAGTAGCACAAATACAGTGCAAGGGGAGGAGGAAGTTGCATTAAATGCACGGCCAACAGTAGGTTTATACCCACAGTCTACATCCAGAGAGTCTGATTAGGGTTAGAGTCATTTTGCCACTTGTTGCTTTGACATGATATTGACTTCAGCTCAGTTTTGTTTTTGCATTTTTATGTAAACAGAGATTGTTTTGAGAACCAAGGAGGAAAACCCCTCTTTTAAAACAGTCTCTGTGCACATGTGGAATAGTCTGACAAAAAAAACAACACCACTGTCAAGAAGCCATGGATATTTGCAAGCGTGTTCTCCCCCTAGTCTTTTGTGCACTGCAGTATCAATATCATCCTACACCCAAGGATGAATCTTGTCTCGGACTAGTGTGGCTTAAATATTGCATGTACAAATGTGCACTACCTCACTTCTCTTCCTTCAGGCTACAGTCGCCGCCTTCGCAGCCAGCGAAGGTCACTCTCACCCGCGTGTGGTGGAGCTTCCTAAGACGGAGGAAGGCCTCGGCTTCAACGTGATGGGTGGCAAAGAGCAGAACTCGCCCATCTACATCTCCCGCATCATTCCCGGAGGCGTGGCCGAGAGGCACGGCGGCCTAAAGCGAGGAGACCAGCTCTTGTCTGTCAACGGCGTGGTAGGTCCAACAAGACTTAGATATTGATACAGCACATGAAAAGTGAGGAGAAACAGATTGGAGAGAGAGTGTAGATAAACTTCTCTGCCCCTATTTATTATTTAAACCTGCCTTCAAAATACTGTATACTTCCTCAGCTACAGTAATTTTAGAGGCTTCGCGCAAAGTGTTTGATATCTACTTTCATATGTGAGCCAACAATGAGGAGAGGTCAAGATGTTGCACCCGTCTTGAGTAAGGAGCAGAAACCTACAGAGAGACAAGACCGCTCATTCCAAACTATCACAGGGAATTAAAAATGGAGGAAATATCCTTTTTTTTTCCTTTGAGGGGTTACTATTTTTAAATATATATTAAAATCAGATCCCTTTAAAATTCCTCTTCTTCTCTGTCTCCGTAAACCCCCTGCAGAGCGTAGAGGGAGAGCACCACGAGAAGGCGGTGGAGCTGCTGAAGGCGGCCAAGGACAGCGTGAAGCTGGTGGTCCGCTACACCCCCAAAGTGCTGGAGGAGATGGAGGCTCGCTTCGAGAAGCTGCGCACGGCCCGGCGGCGTCAGCAGCAGCAGCTCCTCATGCAGCAACAGCAACAGCAGAACCTGGCCTCTCAGCAGAACCACATGTCGTAGGTGAGGCGCTTCATTGCTTTAAGGGTGAGGGGTGGGGCGGAGGTGGATGCCTGCAACACGAGTCTTTTTCCACCAAGACAGTATGAAGGAATCAGGGCCGCACCTCCAACCAGGTAATTTCAACATCCAAAGAACCAGATATCAGCGAGGAAGAGTGGTTTGATAGTAGCACTAACAATAACTTTACCAGTGTAGAACCAAGAACTACTAACACAACAAACCGGAGCAGCGCTAATGTGACCCACAAGACCAACTAAGACCAACTGAGACCAATGGAGACCAACATAACATAGAATTCTGACTACTTAGCAAGCAAGCTGCTGGCCAGCTAACATTCTTCAAATAAGCACAGCTACTGTTTTCTCACATCAGTGTGTTAAGTTTGTTGTATTTTTGGTTCTGTTAAATTAGTGGCTGTTGCTTGGAGGCGTCATAGGAGCGTTACCCGAGCAACAGTGGATGCGATGAGGCCGCCAAAGTTTTGCTTTTTGTCTAGAAAAGAGGCTACTTCTAATCAATAGTGGCAGATTTTTTACACACATCCTCTAATGCCATGATCGTTTAATGTAAAGTTCGTACTTCCTCCATATCCTCTCCATTCCAGTGGTTCATCCCCTCTTTGCCCCAACAGTTTTGTTGATCACATCTGCATCCATTGTGTGCATCGTGTTTCTCATACTGTCACATTTGTAGCATTAATGTTACATTCAACGTGAGAAATTAGTAGCTATGCGTTAGCTAGTTTGATCAGACACTGCTGTCAAAAAATTAACACCTTCGATAAGGATTGTATAATGGTCTTAGAAACCTCAAAATGTCTATATATTAATAGTTTTTATATTAACACGTAAATAGGCAGAGCTGTGTTATTCTATTTTATTTAATTTCATTGTTTGTCACGGTAAAGATAATCAGAGTAGATGAGCCGAGGTGGTGATGTCATCGAGTACGCTGCTGCCCCAATTGCACATTTACGGCGATGTGTTCTCACGGACTACACAAGTTCTGACTTTAGTGACTACATAAGGAGGTTGCAGCAACTGTCTTGCCTGAAATAAGTGAAGAAGACAAACGATACAACCTCTTGTGTTCTCAGCCAGTTATCATAAATTCCTAATTTAAAATGTGATGTCCAGGGTCATGCTGCATGTGGTGGTCTTCTAATAGCAGTAACTTATGATGGAAAACCAAAGAATGCTCTGTCAAGGACTGCTCTAATAGCTTTTTGCTTTATTTTGGCTCCCAGTTCATACGACTAAGGTCAAACTGCAATGAGCACAGATTATCTTTCAGCCTCAACATGGATTTTTTTTTTCTCCCTGTGGCACAATTTTGGATCACACGTGCATGCTGTTTTTGGACGTGCATGAAAAAAAACCAAATCAAAACAGGGACAGGGAATGCAAATATCCACAGACAGTATTACCTTTTATCTTTTTCTGTGAGCACGTGCAGAGCCTCAGGCTTAGACCTCCCAGCTGTTCCTATTTCAAGGTGACTGGGCTTTTACAGTCAGAAAATCCCGCTGGCAGATTTGTCAGTGATTTTTATATACCGTCAGACAGCTTACTTTACCAGTAAAACACACTTTGAATGTATGTCTTTATATTTATTGACCTGACCTGTGTGTATTTCATGCCTTTGTTGTTGTTGTTTATGTAGTTTGTCATCAGAATCAGAAAATGAGGAGAAAATGAAAAGTACTTTCTGACTGTTTAGCTGCAGAAAGTGTAAAACGTAAGACCTTCAAATAAACATTAAAAGAACTCAGATGAAGAAAAGTGAAGTGGAAGCAAGTTCAACTCTTCCTTTCAGGATTCTTTGACACGCTCTGTTTTTTGCCATGCCGGCACTTTTTATTGGCTCGTGTGCAGGTAGCGCGTCCCAGCACAAAGCCTCAAACCTCAGTGGTGTATTGTGCAAAGTGAGCAGCCAGTAAAAGTCTGTGCAAACATTACCGTTTCCTCTGCGTTCTCGCCCGTGATTCTGTTGTACGGGTTGTAAATTATTCAAGCTTAAACCGATTACATCTGTGGCTCGTGCTCTGCAGGTATGTGGATAAGTAGGTAAAGCGTTCAGTGTTGTTAAAGCTGGATGGAGGGTCTGCATGCCTCTGATTTAGACAGTAATTTTGCAATCCAAATTTAGAACAAAGCCCTGTCAAACCCAAAGCTAACTCACAGAGACACTAATCACACCATGAACCTAAATCACACAATGCAGCAGCTCAGACTCAAATTATTTAAGCATCTCGGTGACGTATCGAAGGCGGGCCTGTGTCCAAGACCTCTGTGGCGTTGCCTGTTTGATGGTAAATCCCCCGGGCGTATCTCTTGTCTTGCACTTGGCGCGCTGCAGCTTGGGAAGGTATTTGGAAGCTTGTAACAGTGTGTTGTGGTGGAGCTACGGACGGGGAACCGAGCAGGGATCATGTTTTATCAATGTCGGCATGTCGACCGCAGAGATTTGCTTTGGCGGCCAAGAGACTGCCAACCAAGTGACACGCACAAGCAGACCGAGAGTGCAACATGAGCCACTGGTCTGTGTGGTATTCACCTGTCTCTCTCCCCGTCTGTCCCACTGTGTCCGTCTTCCTCTCCCAGTCCGCTGCACACATGCATAAAGTCAGCTCGCTTTGGCTTGTTGATCAAGATGATCTCAACAATATTCTCCTGTGAAAGAGCCTCTGCTTCTTGTTTCTTGAAGGGATTCATGTGTTATAAGTGCGCAGATGAAGCCTTCAACTTTTGAGCTTTGCCACATGGGAAGCCCTGTACACCGCTTCTAGGCAACATGGACTTTGCTGTTTTATTAAACAAGCCGATGTGGGTTGTGGGGTGTTTTCTGACTACCGCATTTGCTAAACGGTTCTAAAACCTTTGACAAGAGTCGGTGATCCTCAGCCCGCTTGTAGGTTTATTGCGCGCTACTCAGAGAAAATATAAAAATCAGAGCAACAGAAGCCTCGTGTTTTCAGAAGTACGGTTCCTAATCTAACCCTCGTGCATCTAAGAATCCTCCCTATCAGTCTGAGGAAAGCAACCCATTGCGTCTGACTCTCTTCCTCTCAGTCTCTTGTGTGGTCGACTGCAACCCTATGGTTCACTTCACCAGATCTAAGATTGTTTTATCTTAAGACCACGTGAAGCTTTTTCCTGGAGGATCATGTGATGTTGCTCACAAACAAAACAAGTTCACCAGTTACCAACTTTTCTCTGATATTTTTCATTGCACAAAAATGCACAAACCCTGGCTTTTGTACATTTCCTATTCTGATTTTCTCACAATCCTCTGATATGGTTATACACCCAAATCTGTTCTCCCACCCGACTAGGTAACGTCATGTAGGAAATGCAAAGGCAAAATGAAAAGAGAGGACATTGGAAATCACCACTTTCCTCAGAAATGATTACATTAAGCAGAAACATCTAAAGACTGGAATATTTTAGCTTCCTTCACCGTTTCTGAAAACATCAGCAAACACCTCACAGCTGGTGAACTCGGAGCTTCCACTCATGAGGTTGTGATCACCACAAGAGGGGGGCGTTCACGTGGACGCTTTCTCCTGAACTCAGCAAACACGACCGCATTTGAAGGCACCGTGACTGTTTGGATTTTAATGGAGGTATTTCAGCTAAAGGAAGCTTCTCCAACTGCTGTGCAGAACTGATGTTTATTGATGCTTTCCAGTATCTATACAGTATATATTCATACGGTTTGAGTTAAGTTTTGTTTATCTAACATTAATCAAAGTCTTCTGGTGGCTTGTGGCTTCCTCTCCTAAAAGTTGGGGACTATTCTTTCTCAAACATATTCTTTATTCTAATATAATACCATAAATTATTAAGAAAGACAAAAGGGCAAATCAGTTTGTTTATTATCTACTTTACAAAAAAATAAACCTACAATCAGAGTGTACGTTTTTCCAGTTGCCCACAGATTTTTACTAATACAATAAATGTTAGTCAATCAATATTCTGTAAATGTTTTGGTCTCTTACATTTTTAATTTGCTGTAGTTCAGCCCAGTACAGCCAAGAAGTACCTGAGTTATTGTCATGTGTTTGCTACTCACAGCTGAGTCACAGAAGAAGTGCAGAATTTTTATTTTTTTTACAGAATCAGGTTGGAACAAGCATGTATAGACATGTAGAATAAAGTGATTTTTAATTAAATATCATGACTTTATGCTTTGATGCTGTTAAGTTTCTTGACAGATCATCACTGATGAGTAGTTAATGTGATATTTCTGATTGTCTTTCCAGTTTTTTGCTGATAAACGGCCTCATTTCTGTTATTTTCTTTAAACAACAACATGCCTTTCAAACCCAGCGGTGGCTTTTGTGGTTTTTCGGGTTCAAACTTGTGATCATGAAGTAAAATCATCCATTAACTTCAGTGCAGCTCTGTTTCTTGGACTTAACTGTGACTCGGCACCAAGGCACTGCTCTCAGCTTGTTTTTCTGTTTTGTGACGATCTACAGGTTGTTCCAAAAGAAGAAGAAGTGAAGGAGAGCGAAAAAAGGTGGATCTCTAAGACCATCTGTGTGTGTTGAGGATCCCAAAGGAATCTCTCCGTCACGGAGGAAAACCAACAAGTACAAGACTCTTTTACTTACTCTCTCTCCCTTCCAGTGTACCACCGATTACTGAGCAAAAACAAAGAGAGCGTTTGTCCTGAAATTGGTGCTTCGAGAAACAAGTATGAGGGAGGCTCACACTGAAAGTCGTCCGGTTTAACTTTGTATTCCCTTTTATAAGTTCTTCTCCCCCTCCCGTTGTGACTTTTACCGACCTTTCTTGTGTTCGTTGTTTTACAGTCATCCATTTTGATTGCTTAACATCCATTACGCAGTGGAACCTTTTTGCCATTCTTTTGCCATAGATATCATTTGTACAGTGGTGTTTCTATTGATTCTTCAACTGGTGCTTGTGTCTCTGTATGAATGACCATCGATTTCTTTTACGTGTCAGACTTGTCCTGTTTTGGATAAACGTGAACTCTTTTTTACCTTCTATATTGTAGCAAGAAAAAGATTTTGTATCTTGTAGGTTTAGCAATAACACACATTCTTCAGTTTTTAACCACTAAAACTCATGATCCAATGCACACAGTACACATATACGGTTTATGTGCAGATGTAAGTCATTGTAAAGCAAACTGGGTCTTATGCACTGTAAGGCAGCTTCTGAGTCCAAATCGGTGCCATTTAAAGAGATTATTAATTTCCGGGCGGCATGTAGAATTAATGTGCAATAACATGCGATTGATAGAAGACTTTATAAGCTACTCCCAACTGAAATTTATCTAGAAAATATATATTACAAAGAGGTGCAGTTCAGAAACTGTGTCCTGTTCCCGACAGATTAACAGAATGTCATCCGTGTTCATTTTAACAGAGTGGGAATTTAAAAAAAAGAAGAAGAAGAATTATCTTTATTTTTCAGACCTGTCTATTTTATAGTTTATGAGATCAGAGATTTAACATAAAGTTTTATGGTTCCTTTTAAATATTATCTCTAAAACGCACAGATTATTATTTCAAATCTGTTCATTGTATGACGGCGGAGCAGGTGGTTTATGTGGGTCTATTTTTGTTTGGACAATCATTGTGAGAAGTGTTGAGACTGAGTGGAATGTTTTTTTTCTTCTGTATCTGTAAGAGAAATCAGCTTTTCTCTACCAACCAAGAGATAAAGTGGTAATCCGCCAGGACTGTATTTACTTTTGTCTCCATCTTCGGTGCTAAGCGCTCCTTGTTGTATCTTGTTTTTGTTTGGCTCTGCATTTCGCAGAGTTCAAGTATTTGTCATCTTTGCATCTCTTGTGTTTGTTGTTGTTATTTTATTTTTTTTCATTTTCTGTAGGTGGCGCTCTTTTCTTTTTCTTTGTGCAACCACACAGGCTTCACCACTTTCCCTCTTCAATTTATCCAACGCATAAAACACATCACTTATTGAATAGAAGAGCGTTTTTTCTTCCCCCCGTGAGAAACCAAGTACACTCTGTATGTTAATGACAGCTAATGTAAGAGCTGCTGATGTTCAAAAGTTGCATTTTCATTGGCAATTTTGCAGATAATTTCTTGACTTTGGCTTTGTGGATTCATTGACAGTAAGTGATGATTTCATTTTAACTTTATCCGTTTTTTCCCCCCTAAAAAAAACTGTTTGCATCGAGGTCTACTTTGCTTTAAGTGACCTTCATGCTCAGGTTTTTACATGATATTCAGACATTTTTTTTGGTCCCTCGCTCACTCTCCAAACAGTACATCTCAATATGACAGAACCCTTTTTGTATCTTTAAATCACAGGTACTCTTTCTTAATTGACTTGCATTTTTGAAGCTGATGGTCCTGCACTTACCGTAAAGATTAAAAAAAGACAACAAACTGTTGATATGCAATTGTTATACATACTATATTTGTATAAATAAATCTATGTGCTTGTGTACAGTGAT